CGAAAAATAATAACAAAAAGATAATAAAAGGAAATAAAAAATGAAACACTAAAAATCGAATATATACGCCGCGTGAGCGCAAAGAAATATATATATATCGTTTCGACTCTGAAATTTTCTATATATATTTATGCAATAATGTATGCGGGATTCGCGATTGGTCCAGGTCTTCTCTATCTATCATAAGTTATAATAATTATTATTGCGCAATTATATCAAAATATACTTTTGAAATAATTGTGGAAGTGGTGCAAATCTTTTCCAAATAAATACCAAAAATAAAAATACTATATTGCTGTATAGACTAAGTTCATTTATCCGGTTTATCTTAGCCGTTTTCGACTGTTATATGAGGGCAAATATTAAAATTACGGGTTACATGTGTGAAACATGTTATAATCGGACACTAGATAGGGATTTGCTCGGAATTAAGGTAGGTAAATTTGGTGTCATGATTATGCGATAATCCCTAATCTATTAAGATAGGGATTTGATCGGAATTACAGTGGGCAAATTTGATGCAAAGATTGTGTGATATTCCCTAATCTATGTGTGATGATAGGGAATTGATGACAATTATGATAGGTAAATTTTATGTGAATATTGTGCGATATTCCCTAATATTAGAGCTAGGAGTAAAAACTATGTGGAACATAAATAATTATGAAACTATGTGGAACATTTTGAGTCATAAACTATGTGGAACATTTAGAATCATAAACTATGTGGAACACGCAAGATACGAGATTCGGATGGATGTGGAATGTTTATGTGTAATTTCAAAGCTTATAATCTATGTGGAACATACATTATAAATTATGTGGAACATTTAGAAATGGAACACTTGATAGGGTTTTGATCAAAAATAAGCAGGTAAATTTTTTGGTTAAGCTAGTACGATATTGCCTAATCTGTTAGATAGGTCGTTTGTACAAACCAAGTAGGCAAATTTTGGGTTATGGTTGGGCGATATTGCCTAATCTGTTGATAATTTATGTGGAACATTCTTCACTAAGTATGTGGAACATTGCGACAATCTGTGTTGAACATAATTAGCATATCCTACGTGGGATGTAGTTACGCAACATAGTCTGTGTAGGGTTATATATGCGTACACTTGAAAATAATAATACTATATTGCTGTATAGACTAAGTTCGTTTATCCGGTTTATCTTAGCCGTTTTCGACTGTTATATGAGGGCAAATTATGAATTTGTGTTGAAAGGTTGGCATGATCTTCTACATTTTGTGACGATGTTCCACATAGCTTCTACAGTAAGTACAGTAAGTTTATAATCTATGTAAAACATACATTATAAACTCTGCGCATACTCGCAACATGAGCATACGTAAATGCGAATTATTTATTCGCGTAGAAACAGGATTTTAAGGTTGTGTGACGTTGTAAACCTGATTGTAATATTTCTTATAAAAATCAGCGTACACTGCAAATTAATAAGTTTGATATCGTTCACAAGCTCTGCATATACTACAATCATCTACAGCATTTGTACATCATGGAAGATACAAGTATCTTTTCAAGAGAATTTCTTAACGGACATGAACATCCCGAGGAATTCAATGCGATAATAACCTGGTTGAATAACAATCTTCACGACATGCCCTCGTTTTGGCAGGAACTAAGTGTTCTTCATTCATTACCCAAGGATACTCCGGATAAGGAGGATATTAAGAATGTTCGTCAACAACAAGCAAAAACTGAAGTATTTCGTAGAATACGTGGTAATCTTGATAATTATTGCAGAGAAGTTGGCTACAAGTATAAAATAAAAGTTCAAATTGTTGCTGGCATATTTCGGGGTGTCTACTTTCTCAAGAAACCGGACTGGGTTACTAATAATAAAAGAATGGATGTTAATTAAAAAACTGAATTTAACTCATCAGCGCTTCCTAACATTGCATTCAAGGCACATTAACCTACAATTACTCTTAACATGTGGTAGTTTATTATCGATTCTATCAACTGTAATGTTAGAATTAACTGTCTTATCCTTTTTAATCGTAGCTTCAAATAATGTATTACATAGAGGACATGACGTACACTTTTCAAGTTGTAACTGAATCCAATCAATATCTATGTAATCCTTATCATTTTTTCTACCCGCTG